CGGGGAATGGGCTCGGGAAGAGATGAGCCGCCGCGAGCCCCCGCGCGCCGCCTCTGGTGCTGCCCGGCCCCCCAGCCCCCACCGCCCCTCCCTCCCGGCTCTGCGCGGGGAGCGTGGCCGCAGCGTGCTCTGCTCCCGCGCCCTCTGCTCCACGCCTCCTCCGCGCAGAGGCGACGCGGGAAGCCGTCTCTTAGGAGATTGCTCCGCAGTGAGGTCGGGGGTCAGGATTTGCAGGCGAGCAAGGACAGAGAGGAGAAATTTTACAGGTCGGTGACGCGCCTGATACCTAAAGCCTGAAAGTACTGCCAACTTTGGGGTCATCTATGCTGGGCACCTCCTCTCCAATTATCTGCGAAAAGTGACAGCAGTCACATATTTCTTTAGGAGGCCATGTAATGCAATGCGTACTGGTGGGAAAGAGGATCCGAGAAAAGGCCAGAAGGCTTGCAGGATTGTTTGTTCAGGCCCAGGGTTTCTGAGGTCTCGGCTTTGGATGGCTGGGACACTGAAGGATCTTTAGTCTTGCAGGCTGACCTTTTAATTTCACGAATGATGAAGCTGAGACCCAAGATAGTGTCATTTTGAGTCATAGACAGCGTTCGTGTGCTGGCCTCTGGACTCTGAGCCCAGCGCTTTTCCCTGCCCTGTCAGGAAAGCAAGATCCCCTTGACCACAAGAAATTGAGTCAGGCTTTTTGGGAATTGGAGACAAGAATATGGGCCAAAGAGTGGGTGGAGATGAGGCAGATTGGTTCCTGGGGAAAGTCCCCTTTTACCCACCCCCGCACCCCCACCCCGTGACCACTACCAGAACTACTGAGGGTCCCACGACCGGAAACCTTTCAACAAACGTTTTCTGCTCTCCTTACCTTCCTGCTTCCTCCTGTTTTCCATTTAGGGAGGGTTTCTTTATGCTTTCCTGGGACTTGGGGAATGTCAGTCATATCTGGAAAGCTCACTACCTCTGACTTCAGCTGAAACTATACTTCGACCTCGACACTTCCTCTTGATATGTGGAGAGAAGTCTTGAGAAAATAGAAGTCTCTTTTTCTCCCACCAAAGACAGACACTTAAGACTATTGTTTTGCTAAGGATTTCAGGGTCCCATTTCGGAAATCATAGTCTGAACATTTTTTATCTTTACTTTTCATTTTGGAAAATTCCAGACATTTCAAATATAAGAGCACAGTATGGGGCCCTCCCTGGGGCCATCACTCAGCTTGAACAACTATCACCTCACAGTCAGTTGTATTTCATCTATATCCCTTGTTCCTGTGCCATTATTTTAAAGCAAATCCCAGACATAGTATTCTTTTATCTGTAAATATTTACAGAAAGTAAAGAAGCTATCAACTACTTCTAGGTCTGTGTCTTAGAAAGACTAAGGAGCCGATTTAAATAGGCTCCCACTAGACAAGGATGGAGCAATCTGAGCACCAAAAATTGCTAAGAATTGCAATTGTTTCAAACATATCAAATATGATTATATCTATAAGTTCACAATGATTCTAAAGTAACTCAGTTGATTGGTCACTGTTGATGGGCAAGAGTGAATTAACTCATTATTTTGAAATTGTTTTAGAAAAAAGAAAACAAGCATGCATTTAATCTGCCTTTTCTGTATAAAATGGACTTCAGAGTAACCAATTAAGCTTTACTTTTCCGCTGTCCTTGCCTTTGCTTCCCTAGCCTAACAATCCTCATCTTCCCTGATACAGTGATGCCTCTGGCTATCTGCAGAGAGAAGCTCTTATATACAAGGTCCCACTTAAAAGAAAAAGATTACTATATATATATATATATTATTTATATATATTTTTTATTTATTTTAGTTATACCCTCAGTGTGGTGACCCACAGTCAGTAGGGAACTCAACCCAGAGAGTCTCCCTGAGAAGCGAAGGGTTTGACCCCCACATTGGGCACTTCCAACTTTTAAGACGAGAACCTGAGAGACGAGCCCCCACAACATTTAGCTTTGAAAACCAACAGAGCTGTTGTGATCAGAGAAATTCCTTTATAAGGGCTTGTGCACTCGGACTCACCTGCCCCAGGGCCCTGAAATGGCTGATGCAAGGGCGCCCAGACTTTGTGTGGGAGAAGCCTATTGGCTTGTCTTAGAGTGTTGGCCTTAGGGGCAGGCATGTGAACTGCCATACATTTGGGGGCCTGCTGGGATGCTTTCTGCCCACAGAGACTGATGGGCACCATCTTTTCACTCTCCCTCTGCCTTGCTCCAGCCAGTGAGTCATCTTTTACTTTTTCTTCTTTTTTTTAAACTCTAGGCTCTTCCTTTCTCCCTTTCTCTCATCCTTCTTTCCTTCCTCCCTCTTTCTTTACGTCTTTCTTCCTTCTCTCTTCCTTAGTGGACACCATCTCTACACTGTCCCTATGTCTCGCCCCTGGGCGCCAGCATCTCTTAGAGGAGACCTTTTACACGTGTCTGGTGTCCCGGTTTTTACCTCTGGTGCCCAGTCAGCCACCCAGGAGATGCCCCTTGATCACCTGGCTCTGGTGGCCAGGGAGCCTTGCGTTCCTGGCTCCCATGGGGCTGTAACAATTGGAGAGGTGGTTCTTGGCAAACTGCTACCCTGAGGACCCTGCACAGAGAGCAGACTGAAACACTCCCCAGTCTTCCTGTGGAAGAGCCCTACTTGCTTGTTCTGGAGCTTCAACCTGAGGGGCTGGCTTCAGGTATGGTGCACATCTAGGATCTGCAGACATGTTCTCAGGGAAGCAGGCCAGTGCACGCTGTCTGTGTGCTCTCCCTCTGGCTGGCTACAGCTCACCAGGATCTCCCAGGTAGGGACTTATTCACTCCTCTGTAGCCCCAATTTTTGTGACTATTTCCAGGGGACATCTCTTGATCACCTGGCACTGGTAGCCAGGAGGGCTTGTACTTGTGGTCCCATAGGACTGTATATATTTGTTTACTTTAAAAGCTGTTACCTGAGGATCGGCCTAAATCTAGGAGCTGACTGAGATTCTTCCCTTTGGGACACCGACAAATCTTGGCACATCCTCAACTACTGAGAACCACTGAAAAATAAACAGGCTGCTTGGACAATCACAAAACTTCAATCGACCAAGAGCTAGAGAAGGGCTGAAGTGATCAGTTTCATCTCCCACATGAGGCCACTCCTTCAAGACTGGGAGAGGTGGCTATTTTATCCAATGCAGAGAAACAACACAGAGAATCAAGCAAAATGAAGAAACAGGAATATGTTCCAAACAAAAAAACAAGATAAAACCTCAGAAAAAACCTTAATGAAAACTGCCAAAGGGATACTAGTTAATAAGTTACTATCATTTTCACAAGGAAGCATAGGATAACATGTTTTCAGGTAGGGCTGGGAAGGATCCTGTGCCCTCATTCAAAATGATATCCCTGGTTGGCACTGTGCCTATAATTCTACCATTAGAAATTTGTTGTTTGGGCTTTTTAAATTTTATATCTTTCGGATTTTTAAAAGAAGTAAGTGGGTCTAGTTATAGAGTGATAGTGATAATAAGTAACTTTACATTGTTTTTGACTTGACATTTAGTCTAAAGAAAAAGAAAATCCTAGTAACTTTTCATGATGGGAAGGTGGGAGAGAGAAAGTTGAGTCAGGAGGTTGTAGGCAACAAAGGGACAAGCTGAAGTATTTAGATTTTACTTTGTTAGTATAAGCACCTCTTTTTTCAATCTTCCCTGACACACTACATTTTTTTCTCCTTTCTATTATAATCTCTAGCTTCTCTGTTATCAATATCTGCAGGCAATCAGAACATATATGGAGGATTCAATGTGCACAAAAGGAGCAGTTCTCAACCTTGACTCTTGTTAAACATTAGAATCGATGGGGAATATTTTTAAAAGATTCCTGACAACGACCCTCTTCTTTTTCCCTTTTTATGAGCTGCTTGAGAGCAAGAATCAGTATCATGCATTTCCCAGCATCTAGCATGGTGCTTGGCATCTATCCAGTACCCATCTGTGGAATGAATTAATGAGTTGTCGGCAGATGCAGTTCCTTAAGGAGAGTGGGTCAATCAGGAGGGTGCAGGTTATGCTGCAGTAATGAGGAGCTCAAAAATTCACAGTGCCTTAAAACAACACAGGTTTTTGTTTCTCACACTACCTGTCCTCTGTGAATTTTGCTGTGTCATCCTCACTCCTGTCCCCAAGTTGATCACCATCTAGAACATTGCCAGTTGCTGTCATAAAGAAAAGATGCATGGCAAATCTCGTACTTGCTTTTAAAGCTTCAGCTTGGAAGCGATGCATTACGGCTACTCAAATTTCATTGGCTAAAGCAAAAAGCATGGCCACATCTATCTTCAGGGGAGCAAGAAAGTGCAGTTGCTCTACGTGCTCTACGAGAAGAGTGGAAAGGTTTGGTGGCCAGCATTAATGACTATCACGATGGACAACTGGAACAAAAAAAGGGAACTCACATATGTTATGCACCTACCAAGAACTGGAAGCTTTCACCTATTTCTTTTCAATCTCACGAGTTTTAGCACTATTACTATTCCCATTTTACAGATGAATAAACTGAGGCTCAGTGAGGTTCAGTAGGTTTCACAATATTAAGCAGCTCTCATTTACTCCCAATATTGGCTTCAAAGCCCAAGTCCTTTCTACTAATCATTAATGTATAGTACTGAGGTTTTTGGTCCCTGCCTAACTAAGAGTTAGTTGCATTTTTCCTGTTGGGGTTACATGCTTAGGTGATTCCTGTGGATTTTTTTCTACCACCAGCTGGTCTACAATCTAGGATAACTATTTCCTAAGAGGATCCGTTTTGCTCATTTAAAAGCCACACAGGTGTAAATATCAAAATAAAATCCTGGTGTTCTCTAAAAAATGTTCTCAGGTCCCCAGCCCTGAGCTGATCTTGTTTTCCTTTGCATTTTGCTCTTTTTTTGGGGGGGCGGAGGGGGGCTGGTGGCTCTCCCCTTCCAGTTCAATGAGAACCATGAAAGCAGAAAATAATA